CTATTCTATTCCATTCCATTCCATTCCATTCCACTCCACTCCACTCCACTCCACTCCACTCCACTCCACTCCTTATTCTCTTCTCTTCTCTTCTCTTCTCTTCTCTTCTCTTCTCTTCTCTTCTCTTCTCTTCCCTTCCACTCCACTCCACTCCACTCCACTCCACTCCACTCCACTCCTTATTCTATTCTGTTCTCTTCTGTTCTCTTCTCTTCTGTTCCGTTCCGTTCCGTTCCGTTCCGTTCCGTTCCATTCCATTCCATTCCATTCCCATTCCCTTTTTGGATATCTTATTAAACCATAACTGTGCACTTATAATATGAACACGACCCCCCCCTGCAAAAAAGGACCTTGGAGACTTCAGATGCAAATATAGGCTTTGTAGTCCCAAAGTTGAACTCCTATCCATCCTGCTGGCTTTTCTCTTTTTGGGGTAAGAGAAACGTTAACGCAAAGCGCAGAGAAAAGAAGGAAGAACAATGAGCCGGAAGTAACAGGAGGCAGAAAAATAAAAAGAGAAAAGAAAAGGCATTTTAATTTAGCCCTCCACCAAAACCCTTCCATTCTCTAACCTTTGCAGGAACCTTCCTTTCTCTCTCTCTCTCTCCCTCTCTCTCTCTCTCTCTCTCTCCCTCCCTCCCTCCCTCCCTCCCTCCCTCTCTCTCTCTCGCCACTTCGTACATTGCTTTTTGTTCTTTATCGAACGAACCTGCTCGGGTTTTATGAAAGCGTTCAGTGGTAAGGAAACCCATTAACGGTGCAGAACAATAAAAGCCGACTTTTAGCTGAGCTTTTATTTTTTCTTCTTCTTCTTTTCTTTTGTACCTTCTTAAATTGGGGAAGAACGGTAAAAATAAATAGGGCGAGAGCTCAGAGAGGTTCTCGAAGGGCGGTTTGGAAACGACGGTGGAGTCTTCGTCATCTAACGTGAAGCTAAATGATCTCGGGGTGTTGTTGTTGTTTTTTCCCAAAAGACTTTAAAACGGGAGAGATTACGGTTGCGAAGGGAGGAAATGCTGTCACTCACCTTCCATTAGAGACAAAAAATCCCAGTTTTCAATAGCTACCCGGCAGAGCTATGGATTCTCACGTAGGTAATTATATTAGTTACGGTTATCCCACTAGGCGAGGCACAGCCTGCTCGGTTGGTTAGAAATGTTACTGCAGGCTTATTTTGAAGGATCGCAGAAGTAGGTTGCTGGGAAGGCCTCCTGGGGAAGGGAGCATCCGAAAACACATTTCTAACATCCAGCTCCATTGATTTTCCAGGAAACAGGCTCGCTTCGATGAATCTAAATCACACAAGGCACCAGATCCTATCCCATTTCAGACAAGGGGCTGTCCAGTCTCTTCTTAAAAGCCTCCAGTGATGGAGCACCCACAACTTCTGGTGGCAAGCTGTTCCACTGGTTAGTTGTGGAAGTTTCTCCTCAATTCCAGGTTGCTTCTCTCCTTGATTCGTTCCCATCTGTTGTTTCTTGTCCTGCCTTCTGGTGCTTTGGAAAATAATTTGACCCCCTCTTCTTTGGGGGCAGCCCCTCAAATACTGGAATACTTGCTCTCATGTCCCCACTAGTCCTTTTCTCTAGACTGGCCAAACCCAAATCCTGCAGCCATTCTTCCTATGTTTTAGTCTCCAGGTCTTTAATCATCTTAACTTGCTCTCCTTTGCACTTTTTCCAAACTTTTTCCAAAGAAGGATGCACCCCCACAAAAATACATCCTTCCAATTATAAAGAGCTGCGGTGGCCCAGTGGTTAGAATAGTTAGAATGCTGTATTTATTTATTAAAATTTATTTATTTATTAAATTTATATGCCGCCCGTCTCCAGAGACTCAGGGCAGCTCACAATAAATTTAAAAAAAAACCATTCTAAAAACATTTAAAAGATTAAAAAACATTAAAAACCTTAGAACACATTCACACCATTCATGGCCGGATCTCGCCAGATCAATAAAATAAATAATTAAATAAATAATTAAATAAATAATTAAATAAATAAATAAATAAATAAATAAATAAATAAATAAATAAATAAATCACAAAACGAGATCAACGGCCCCAGGCCTGCCGGAAAAGTCAGGTCTTCACAGCTTTTCGGAAGGCCAATAGGGTGGGGATGGTCAGGACCTCAGGAGGTAACAGGTTCCAGAGAGCTGGGGCAGCCACAGAGAAACCCCCCGCGGGCCCACTGCAAGTATTTATGTCAGCACTTCAAGCTGCATTTCCTCTAGTGCTGACATAAGAAGGAGAAGCGGAGGCGTCTGGAAAGGGACGTTTGACTTTTCACCTACTTATTTTCCCTGGAGATAATATCCCCTAGGAGATGGGATGGGAGGGGGGAAATTCCTTTGAGCTGGAGTAGATTAGGGGAAAATGGCTTGGAAGATGGCCAATGAGTGCAGGGGAGTGGGAAACGGGGAAGGGAGGGTTTTGGGTCTGGAAGTCAGTGTTGGCTGCAATTGGAGTCGGATTCAGAATGTTGTGCTTAATAAATGGGACTTTTACTTCAAAGACTTTGTTTGAAATGCAATTTATTTGAGACGACCTCGAAACTTGACAATTGCAGGCTAATGCTGCCCACTGCCAGGAGTTCGATCCTGACCAGGTCAGGGTTGACTCAGCCTTCTGCGACGATGGTCATAAATCGAAAACTAACGGTATTAGACCAACTTTTTCCAACCTGGTGCTTCCAAAGGTGTGTTGGAGATCAGTTCCCTGAAAGCATCAGTGGGATGGGGAAGGATGGTCATGACAGTAAGGCTGGGGAACTCTGTGAGTGAAAGCCCTCACTTCTTAAAGTGTTGTGGCTGACTCGCTACGCACTCCGCTCTCAACAGAAACAGGGATGGGGGTGGTCAGGTTTCGAATGTAGGGGAAGCTTGGGAATGCAAAAGAGCCAACTTGGCCAATGACATCCTGGTGCCTGAGGTCAAATGATGGGGAAGTTCCAAGGCGCTCAGCCCGTTTCCCAAAATTAATTGAATGTAATTAATTGGTGGACAATGAATAGCGGGTGGCCCAGGGGAGAAAAGGAGAGTTGAGTTATGCTGCTTCGCGCGTGAAAACTTCAGAACTGGCTTTGGGGCTTCTGTGCCTATGTGGAATTATCAGTAAAGTTATACTCTTGGCAAAATAATGCTCCAGGAGTTTCTTTTGCTGCATATGCCAATGGGACAGTTGTCACAAAGTTGAGAAACACTATGGTAAGAGATATCAACAGGAGGAAGAAGGTGTGTTGGACCATGATGGCGAAGCCCTCTCTGTGGGCGTGGGTGGCGTCGACAGCTACTGTTTTGGTCTTCGCGCATGCCGGAGCCCTGGCAACCCAAAAACCAGCTGGTCAGTGCGCATGCACATGCCGGAAACCCGAAGACCCGTTGGCCGGCGCACGCATGTGCACCGACCAGCTGGTCTCCGAGTTGCCGGGGCTCTGGCGTGCACGAAGTTCAGGTGGCCGGAGTGCATGTCCGAGCTGGAAACCAAAATAGCAGCTGTCGATGGCGCGCATGCCCACAGAGAGAGCTCTGCGTGCCACCTCTGGCATGCGTGCCATAGGTTCCCCATCACGGTCCGGTTTGGGCACTCGGTGCAAAAAAGGTTCGCCATGGCTAGTGTAGGATATGTTTGCCACCTTGAGTTATTTGTCAGGAGCAAATAACCAGGAGCATTTGCTGAGTTCAAGGCAGAGAAGAGTTTATTATTGCCACTGCTAATATAAGGATCTAGTTAACTAACGGTCCAAGCTAAGTTGCCCTAGGTAAGATTCAATGGAATTCACAACGGGCTGGATTTGGTGTCAGCGTTCCAGCACTGACATATGAAAAGGAGAGGAGAAGCTTGAACTTTTGCCTACTTAATTCCTTTGAAGATTCTGTTTCCTCGGAGATGGGAGGAGGGGAGTGGCTTGGAAGATAGCCAATGAGACGCAGAGAATTGGGGATCAGAAAGGGAGGGCTTGGGGGGCAAAGGTCAGTGCTGACCGCGAAAGAGCCAGGGACAGATCACTATGCTCAATAAAGAGAGAATTTCCTCAAAGATCGGCAGTTTGGAAATTCATTTATTTTGAGATAGCATCGAAACCTGACATTTGGAACCGTTGTGGGAGTGCAAAACTAATGGCATGTTTAATTCCACCTTCCAGCTTAGCTTGCTTTTCTCCTACCTACTGTCAACTCTGAATTGAACCTGGCTGAAGCCATCTTTTGCTGCTTCATAGTTGCCATGTACTCTGGGGAGGGGGGGGGAAGTAAGTAGAACGTCTCGCAGACAAAACAAAGAGCTTTTCTCATGGGAACCAAGGTCATCCCAACAGGTGTCAGTTGAAGGAGGAAAGGAGTGACCAAGGAGCCAGCCAACTGCTTTAATTGGACAATATGACCTATGACACTTGGGGAGGGAAACATTTACTCTTTAATTATGCTATAATAGCGGGAAACTTTGAGACTTGGTTTTCACTAAGCCGTGCCAATATGATGTATCCAATAAACATGTTCTTTGAGGAACCTTCTTGCCTCAGAAGTTCTAGTTTCTTTGGATGCGTTACTCAGAACCCTGAATATCCGCAAAAGCAATAAAGGCGGGATATAAATTAAAATAAAACCCACAATTTAATCAACCGGTATTGTACGTTGTGATACGTCTTGCAGCTGCTTTCAGGCCTCTGCAAACTTGGCAACTTTAAAAATTGTGGGCAGCCAGGAATTCTGGGAGTTGAAGCTCTTCACAAATCTTAAAAGTTTGGAGACCCCTAGTCTAGATCATAGCAGGGCGAGTTCTCAAAAAGTTCCCCAAAGGAGGAAGCCCTCATGGACACTCTGGGTCATTTAGGGTTCTACCAATGAATGCGCTTCTGTCCAGCCTCTTTTTGTGTTACAGATGTAGAGAAGTCCTGATAAAAATACGATGTCCGTGGACGAGAAGACATCGCTTGTCTTTCTTCCTGAGCCCCATTCTTCTCTTTCTCTTCTACTCAGGGCATCTTCTCTCCGGTGGAACACTGGGACGAAGGAACGGATGCTGATCAAGGTGACGGACCGCGAGCCCAGCTTCCTGATGCACCAGGGTAACGGCTACACCCTTGACCATCAGCAGGGCACCCGGTCGCGGAGGCCCTCAGGTGGCCAGCCGTCCCCCAACCTCCAAACCTTTGCCACCGATTCCGACAACTCGGTCTTCTTCCCCGAGCGGAAGCAGTCGCCCTTCCTGAAACGGGCCGATCATGTGGGCAGCTGCTCCCCGCTGCTGGGCCGGGGGGACCCCTTCTGTTCCCCGATGCAGGGCCAGCACCGTAAGCACTCCAGCGAATCGCAGCCCTCCTCTCCGCGCTACGCCTACGAGCCGCCCTTGTACGAGGAGCCTCCCATGGAGTACCAGGCTCCCATCTACGACGAGCCACCGGTGGATATGCAGTTCGAGGCCAGCGGGAGTTACAAAGCGGGTTCTCCCCAAAAGTCCCCCATCCGCAAACCCCACCCATTCCTACAGTCACCCAAACAGGGCTCCAACTCCCCCTACCAGCAGCTGGTCTTGACCAAACAGAAGGGCTCGGACCGCTTTATGAGCCTGGAGTACAGCCCGGCCGGCAAGGAGTACGTGCGGCAACTGGTGTATGTGGAGCAGGTTGGGTCCAGCCCTACCATGAAGAGTGCCCCCCGCCACAAATACTCCCCCAACCCCATCGGTGGCTCCTACTCGCTGCAGCACAGCCCCTGCCTGATGCGGGACCAGCGCCTGGAGATCAAATCTGGAGATTACAGCAGCATGGAAGGCGCAGATTTCCGGCACAGCCCTCCGGCCGTCATGCCGTCGCAGGGGGAGGACTCCATGTCCTGCTCCAGCCAGCAGAACACGTTGTCCTCCACAGGTTACTCCCCGGGCAGCCGCAAACGAAAGAGCCGGAAGCCCGCTTTTTCGTACGACCCCAACACGTCGTCCACCGACGGCTCCGGCGAGCGTGACGAAGGCATGCCAGAGGACAGGCCTCTGTCCGGGTGCAGCCGGTCCCCGGGCGGGCGTCTGGACAGCCGGTCAATGGAAGGTGAGTCCTGCAGGGCTTCAGCAGAGCCCTTCCTGGCTCAGGCCCGCCTGGCTTGGGAAGCACAGCAAGCCCACTACCATATGAAGCAGCGCAGCAGCTGGGACTCCCAGAAGGACGGTTCAGGGTACGAGAGCGATGGGGCCGTGCCGCTGCCTATGCCAGGTCCGGTGGTGCGCGCCTTCAGCGAGGACGAGGCTCTGGCCCAGCAGGACAACAAGCACTGGAAACGCAACCCGTTTGAGAAGTTGGCTTTTCCGCAGATCCTGTTGGAGAAGAGCGTGTCCGTGCAGACAAATTTGGCGTCGCCCGAGCCGTACTTGCATCCGTCCCAGGTAAGACGAGCAGGGCCAGGAATGAGCAGGAAATTGAAGGAGGGATGATGCTTAAGAGCTGTGGTGGCGCAGTGGTTAGAATGCAGTATTGCAGGCTAACTCACTGCCAGGAGTTCGATCCTGACCAGGCTCAAGGTTGACTTAGACTTCCATCCTTCCGAGGTGGGTAAAATGAGGACCCAGATTGCTGGGGGCAAGAGGCTGACTCTGTAAACCTCTTAGAGAGGGCTGCAAAAAGCACTGTGAAGCGGTATATAAGTCTATTGCTAAGTGGGAAGGAAGGAAGAAAGGAAGGAAGGAAAGGAAGGAAGGAAGGAAGGTAGATGGTGGTGCAGTGGTTAGAGTGCAGTATTGCAGGCTGACTCTGCCCACTGCCAGGAGTTCGATTCTGATCGGCTCAAGGTTGACTAAGCCTTCCATCCTTCCGAGGTGGGTAAAATGAGGACCCAGATTGTTGGGGGCAAGAGGCTGACTCTGTAAAATGCTTAGAGGGGGCTGGAAAGCACTGGAAAGCAGTATATAAGTCTAAGGGCTATTGCTATTCCTATTGCTATTTCTTTGGGTTCAGAATTGCACTGCTCCCCTTCTCCTTTTATTTCGAAATTGCCGTTGTTGATGTTGTTGTCGGTGATGATGATGAAGATGTGATCCATTCAGTCATGCCCGACTCTTGGCGATTCTCTGGGCCTCTGGCTTTGCTGATTTCGTGTCTGTTTGTGATGCTGCAGAAACTCCGAAACTGGGCCCTGCGATGAGTTGTACTGCTTATGCTGTTCTGAGCTTCCGTAGCCCTTGTGACATAAGAAGGCCTAACTTATATAATTTGTCACATTTGCATGACTGCACAAATGATAACGGATTATGTAAGTTGTGCAAAGATATCCTTTTGTGCAGGAAGGTCGTGATGCTTTCGATATCAGTACAGGTCCAAAGGGCACTTCAGAGAAAACAAGCATAAAAGTGAAAAATGGGACAGGAATCGTCTTTTAGAGAGAGAGAGAGAGAGAGAGAGAGAAGGAAAGAATGCGTGAAAGCAAATGATATTTCTTCTTTCTGTGAGATTCTTGGTGCTGTCTGAGCGTGGTTGGTTGCTTGCAGATGTTTCATGACCCAACTAGGTAACGTCATCAGTCTTCCTTCCTTCCTTCCTTCCTTCCTTCCTTCCTTCCTTCCTTCCTTCCTTCCTTCCTGCCTGCCTTCCTTCCTTCCTTTCCTTCCTTCCTTCCTTCCTTCCTTCCTTTTTCCTTCCTTCCTTCCTTCCTTCCTTCCTTCCTTCCTTCCTTCCCTTCCTTCCTTCCTTCTTTTCTTCCTTCCTTCCCTTCCTTCCTTCCTTCCTTCCTTCCTTCCTTTTTCCTTCCTTCCTTCCTTCTTTTTTCCTTCCTTCCTTCCTTCCCTTCCTTTTTCCTTCCTTCCTTTCCTTTCTTCCTTTCCTTCCTTCCTTCCCTTCCTTCCTTCCCTTCCTTCCTTCCCTTCCTTCCTTCCTTCCTTCCCTTCCTTCCTTCCTTCCCTTCCTTCCTTCCTTCCTTCCTTCCTTCCTCCTTCCTTCCTTCCTCCTTCTTTCCTTCCTTCTTCCTTCCTCCTTCCTTTTTCCTTCCTTCCTTTCCTTCCTTCTTTTCTTTCCTTCCTTCCTTCCCTTCCTCCTTCCTTCCTTTCCTTCCTTCCTTCCTTTCCTTCCTTCCTTTCTTTCCTTCCTTCCTTCCCTTCCTCCTTCCTTCCTTTCCTTCCTTCCTTCCTTCCTTCCTTCCTTCCTTCCTTCCTTCCTTCCTCCCTCCCTCCCTCCCTCCCTCCCTCCCTCCCTCTGGAGGCTAAAACATATGAAGTTCGGTTGGTGGAATTCCTTAGAGATTGGGTTTGCAGAAAGGAGGAAGAGGAGGAGGAAGACAATGACTGTGGGGTCTCTGAGCTTGCTTGTTTCCTTGCAGACGTTTTGTTACACTACTGGGTAACATCATCAGTGCTAGAAGAGAGCAGGGAGGAGGAGGAGGAGGACTGTAGGGTCTTCGAGTTTGCTTTTTTCCTTCAGACGTTTCGTTACTGGGTGACATCATCAGTGTTAGAATGGAGTGAGGTTTACACCTTTTAGCACTGATGATGTTACCTGCAAGAAACCACCAAGTTCAGATGCACCAAGGACCCCATAGTTCTCCTCCTTGGTCCTTCTCCTTCTCGTCCTCCTCCTCCTCCTCCCCCCTGCAAACTCCACTCCTTCTAGCACTGATGATGCCACCTAGTTAGGTCATAAAAGGTCCGCAAGAAAACCACCAAGTTCACAGAGCACCAAGGACCCTGTCAACTGCAAAAACATCTCCAGGGGAAGGATACTGCAAAATCCCCATTCCTTCCCCTCTCCAGGGGGAAGGATACTGCAAAATCCCCATTCCTCCCACTCCAGGGGAAGGATACTGCAAATCCCCATTCCCTCCCCACTCCAGGGGAAGGATATTGCAAAATCTCTATTCCACCAGTGGTGGGTTCCTCCCCGTTCGGTCTGGTTCGGCCGAGCCAGTAGCGGTGACAATATGATGTCACCGACCGGTTCTCCCCTCCCCATGTTATTCTTATTTTATTTGGTCCCACCCCAATCTATGCTGCCTCTGAGTCTCAGCTGATGACTAGAGGAGGAAAAAACTGTTTTTAAACTCTTGCGGGGGGCTTCAAAGGGCCGCCCTACAGCTGATCAGTGTTAAAAGCAAACAAATGAGTCGGGTCATAAGTTGAGGACTGGTCGTAAGTGCGAGGACCTTCCAGAAATGACTCTGACCAGCTAGCCACGCCCACCTAGTCACATGACCTCCAAGCCCACCCACAAAATAAGCCACGCCCACAGAACAGTAGTAAAAAATTTAGAAACCACCCCTGATTCCCACCCGTCTCCAGGGGAAGGATATTGCAAAACTCCATTCCCTCCCCACTCAGGGGAAGGATACTGCAAAATCCCCATTCCCTCCCCCACTCCAGGGGAAGGATACTGCAAAATCTCCATTCCCTCCCCACTCTGGGTGGTATTTGCCAGTTCTCCGAACTGCTCAGAATTTCCGCCGCCAGTTCGTCAGAACCTGCTGGATTTTACCCCTGATCTCAACCCCTGGGATATAGCTATTTTCTCCTGTTTTTTTCTTCTTCTTTTTCTCAGCTATGTTCAAACCTGCTGGGACGGTTCATTGTGATTTCCTTAAACCAAGGCATTCGGACCATGGTTTTTTTTTTTTTTTTGTCTGTTTGTGATGAAATCCAAACAAGCCGAGGCCGGCCTACGCGGGGAGGATCAATGGAACTATTGATTCCGCTGCAGACTTCCCAGCCGCCCACCTTCGCAAGATCAATGCTTTGCAGAATAAAAGTTAGACTAGTCCACCTGCAGAAACGGCACTGATTATTTCTAAGGGATAAAACAAGAACCCTCCGATAGAAAAGATTCATTCTCAATTGGAATGGAGATAAAATTGTCAGGGGTCAAGAAAATACAACATTTCTATTTGTATGCGTGGCTTTGCAACATGGTTTTGGGGCTCCTGCGTGAGCCGGGAGGGGCTGGATTAGAAGACCTCCAAGGTCCCACCTCCCAGCTCTATTTGTTTGTTGTTTGTTTATTTGATTTGTATACCGCCCTACTTCCGAAGGACTCAGGGCGGTGAACAGCCAACAATAAAATACATAGATACAAAAAATTTAAAAACCAGATAAAATCAAATTAAATCATTTTGGCCCAGACAGATTAAAACACCCCAATAATTTAAAAACAGATTAAAATTTACATATTTAAAAAGGGAAGAGATTAGGCCAAGCCCGCCTGGTGGAATAAAAAGGTCTTCACAGCACGGCGGAAGGAGCGCAGATCCGGGATCCTCCGTATCTCCGGGGGGAGCTCATTCCAGATGGTCGGTGCCCCCAAAGAGAAGGCCCTCCCCCTGGGGCCGCCAGTCGACATTGTTTGGCTGACGGCACCCAGAGGAGCCCCTCTCTATGAGAGCGTACTGGCCGGTGGGAGGCTATTGGTGGTAGCAGGCGGTCCCGTAGATAACCAGGTCCTAAGCCATGGAGCGCTCTAAAGGTGGTAACCAAAACCTTGAAGCGCACCCGGAAGACCACCGGGAGCCAGTGCAGCTCGCGCAGGAGAGGTGTTACATGGGAGCGCTATTCTGATTGAAACGGTATAGTTTTGAGTCACCGGTGACTAAAGCCAGCATGAAATCCTTCGCCGTGCCTCGGATTCCCCCTCGTCACATTTGATGACTTCATTTCTTCCTGCAAATTAAGCCCCAGGGAATCCTTAAGTGTCAGAAGGAACCTCATTAACATATCGCTGGCAAACAAATAAATCGCCTGTCCTCTTCCATCCTCGAGCAATTTGAAAGCAATTAAAGAAAGTTTCGTTGGAGCCTCACTTCGTTGGAGTCACGGGTGTCAAACCCGAAGCCCGCGGGCCGGATTCGGCCCCACGGGGTGCCTAGATCTGGCCCGCGGGGCTGGCCTGGAAACAGCAAAGTTGCACCTCTGGCAGTGCAAATGGAGCTGGGGTACGAGGCCGTCACAACTGAAAATGGGGCATGGGTGGGGGGGCTGCGCGGGTCCCCGTCCCCTCCCCAAACTCCTTTTTCGCTGCCAGAGGGCTCTCAAAAACAAACTAAAATCAAAACAAAAGGAGAAGTGTTTCCCCTGTTGCATTTGAGCATGGAAGAAGGGACAGGAAAGGAGAAAGGGAAAAGAGAGGAAAGACAGAGAAAAAGATGAGAAGAGAGCAAGGGAGGAAAAAGAAGGAAAGAGGGGAAGGAAGGAGAAAGGAGAAGGAAGAGGGAAGGAAAAAGAATAGAAGGAAGGAAGGAAGGAAGGAAAGATGGATATTGAGTGAAGGGAGAGAGGGATGGAAGGAAGGAAGGAAGAAAGGAAGGAAGGAAGGAGGCATCAAGAAGATGAATGACGAGGGAGGGGAGGGAGGAGGGACAGGGAGGAAGGAAATAAGACATAGAGAAGAAAGGAAAGAAGGAAGGAAGGAAGGAAGG